GTCGTTTAGATTGCCAAAGAACAAAAAGCTTCATGAAATGTTCAGGGCCCAGGGGAATTTCAGTATTGCAATGTACCTGGCCTACAGTTGGGGGAAACCCCCCCCCCCCCCCCCCCCCCCCCCCCCTTCCATCCCACAAACAGTACAATTTATCCACTTCTTTCACATTACTGCATCTGAATGGCTTCACTTACCATTAACTTTAAAACATTGGTATGTGAGTGTATTTTTTTACGAGACTGTTTTATCCTAAAGGATATTCAGATATAATATTACATTGAACATAAGGTATAACAAGAAAAACTGTCTGTAGTTTAAAATAGGGTTATTATTGAATACCCTAGAAAATCTGTACGTCCGGCATGTGCTTCACCTGAAAATTAAGCTTTGGCACAATAAACCGCCATTATCACTTGTATTAAACTATCATTTTCATTGCCTATAGCAGTAGAGGATTCCCTTAAAGATTACAAATAATGATTTATCTTAGCTGATAGTCTTGCCTTTTCCATGAAAACTATCGACGATTTCTGGTTAATGTTCTTACAATAGTGGATGTGATAGAGTCAAATGTTTTATAAATGGATTATATATGCTTTGAAGCATTGGTAAACAATTTTGCCGTTCTGGCTGACAGTTCTGTTCTGCAAAAAGATACACCCTTTTAATATGTAAGTGTAGAAGTTAAAGTGTCCATTTTAGATGCAATGATTATCGATTTTACGACCAAGACAAAAGCCACAGTATATCACCGAGAAGCTTTCGAATCAAGTAGACATTAGCTGGTATTATAATAGAAACAAAGGTAGCCATTGTAGAATTAGGCCTATAAGACGAGGTATCACTTTCATTAAAGTCAATCAAAAGACAGTTTAAACCATGTTCTAATGGGAAACAATAGATAATTCATTGACAAGATTAAGGTCTAGATACATCAAACTCTCTCTAATTCTCTTTCAACTTTACCTTATATTTCAACGGTAACATAAAGGCAGTGATACCCGATTTCCAAATCGTTTAAAGGACGACTAACCAATACCCATTTTCACTTTAAACACGAAATTTGTGTTAAACAACGCCATGTATTAAATAATTTTAAACTTTTGCTGATGAACAGCGCCATGCATTGAAGAATATCAAACTTTTTACTGATGAACAGCGTCATGCATTGAAGAATATCAAACTTTTTACTGATGAACAGCGCCATGCATTGAAGAATATCAAACTTTTTACTGATGAACAGCGTCATGCATTGAAGAATATCAAACTTTTTGCTGATGAACAGTGCCATGCATTGAAGAATATCAAACTTTTTACTGATGAACAGCGCCATGCATTGAAGAATATCAAACTTTTTACTGATGAACAGCGCCATGCATTGAAGAATATCAAACGTTTTACTGATGAACAACGTCATGCATTGAAGAATATCAAACTTTTTAGTGATGAACAACGCCATGCATTGAAGAATATCAAACTTTTTAGTGATGAACAACGCCATGCATTGAAGAATATCAAACGTTTTACTGATGAACAACGCCATGCATTGAAGAATATCAAACGTTTTACTGATGAACAACGCCATGCATTGAAGAATGTCAAACTTTTTAGTGATGAACAACGCCATGCATTGAAGAATATCAAACTTTTTAGTGATGAACAACGCCATGCATTGAAGAATATCAAACTTTTTACTGATGAACAACGTCATGCATTGAAGAATATCAAACGTTTTACTGATGAACAACGCCATGTATTGAAAAATATCAAAACCGCCACAGATGAACAACGCCATGTATTGAACATTGAAAAATATTTACTTTTACTGATGAACGACTCAATTGCATTAAAGAGTCGTTGCATTTAAACCTTGAGCTGCCGCACTTAGCCATCACTAGGTTCCATTCCATAAAAAGTAACTTTGAAAAAGACTCTGGATAGTACGAAATGTCTGTTGAACGACATCTTAATTGTATTTAAATTCTAATTACACCAAAAGACAATTTGTACGAGACTAATTAGGTTTCCTACCTCCCGAGAAAAAAACTAATATTTCACATTAACTTATCTTTAATTGTCCCTAACTTTCAATCTATTTCTGATGAACCTAACGTCACTATAAACAAATAATTTATGGACAGAATTAAACAATTCCTTTTTTAAGTCTCATCCTCCATGAAAACGTTTTTCAGAATGTTTATAGACTAATTCTAGAATTATGAAAACCAATCACTAGTGCCCACTCGAGATGTATAATATAGGGCCTAATTTGCGAGGTATGAGACTTATCATAATTGTAAAAATTGTTTACATAGAAGCATAGGGATTAGCACATTCCTCTATTACAGTTTTTAATATATATCAAGAGTTTAGTCCTCAACTCAATAGAAGTAGGTATATTGATCTTTCATCCCAAAGGTCTAAGTTTATATAATAGCAAGCTGAAATGATGGTTGCATAAAACAAACAAGTACCCTGTGTATAAAAAAATATTGACATAAAGAAATGTAACTTTTATTTGTGACATATAACAAGGCTATTTTTTATATTGCAAAATTATTTTTAAACTTTACTCATGGCATTTCAGAAAATAATATAGAAGTTTAAGCTTCTTGATTCACATCCCTGCGGTCGCGCCTCCGGTAACTGTTTAATCTTCCAATAAGAAAACTATCAGCAAAGGAACTTCCATGTGTGTCTATAACTAAAACTAAAAAGTTATAGTGAGGCTCGAGAGCAATGAGATACGTTAAACAAATACAAAAAAATCAAGATATCCTATATATAAATTTTAAGAATCAGGTGGTCAGCGGTTAACCTGGAAATATATATGATATACAAATTGCTCAGAATATCAGGAAATTCGTTATTTAAAATGCCATCTTAATCTGTCTAAGCTTGTAGGTTTAAAATCTCCGTCGCAGAATGACATTATGTACATTAGGTGTATAAAGCCTTCCATGAATTTAAGAAAGAAGAATACTAGTATCAGAAATACGTCTTCAGACTGAAATACTTCCAAACTATGTTAACTAATTCTAAGTATTTAAGTTTTTATGTAACATATTCAGACATTGAGATTGCGTAATTTTAACTTGATTTCTAAGAAAACTATCAGCAAACATACTTCCATGTGTGTCTATAACTAAAAGATATATATTCGATATGTTGAAGCAGAGAACTATATCAGATTAATGTAATTAAGGCTATCGTGTAGCCGACTTAACGGAATACAAGATATCCAATTTACTTTACATTTACTTAACATGTATTTACACTAATTTCACTGATTTACCGCAGAATTTTAACATAAATTCCATCGTGTATATTTGATAGTTTTCGTTTCATTGGCACAAGTTCTTGTTAACACATTTCTTAATTTTTTTCTTAAAGCTTATCAATAAATTAATCATGAGATTTGATGACTCTTTGAAATGGGTCAAGCTTAAAATTAATGTCTAGTGCTAACTATTTCTTCAAAATTCATAGATATCAAACTAATGGCATACTGCAACACAATCTAGAGGTCTGGGGTGTGTACTCTGAATACTAATTGCATTATAGTTGGTGCAAGTGTATAATTAAACTATTATGGTAGATTTTCTTATTGCACTCACTGCTATTGCAAATATTCAAACGAGAGATTCTTCTTTTATTTCGTTAGATAGTTGAAAAATGCCAGCTCTCGATGTGGAACAATATCATATGTATTGACTAAAACTTCATGCTTGGTCAAAAAGACAAGAACTTGTATAGATATCCTTACTGAATCAGGATGCAGTTCCGCACTGCAACGGAAGGCGTAAGGTGGATAAACCAAAAAATATTGTTTTTTCTGAATTGTTAAATTCCAACTAAAAAAGCATCTCTGATCTCTGAACATGTATGCTACCTTTAGATTATATAATATAAAATAAAGAAATTGGAAAATATCAGATTCAATGAAATTCTAATAGCACCAAATTCTATCCAATGCATTAGATTTAACTGAATTAGCTACGATGTGATATTTGATAAGGGAAATCAAAAGGCAGACTAGTTTTTGCAGGAAATTTAAAAATGCTGAGATAGAATTCAAGAGAGACTACAAAATATCACATTCTTGACAATCTTTATATCCCATACCAGAAAAAAACAATTAAATTCCATTTCGATGTCAATTATAACTGTCTTCAATTTCCACCATTATTACTTTTAATATTTCTTATTGAATATATAATGTACACATCACCAGTTTCAAGCTAATACAATTTCTGAATGTGCAATAATTAGATTTATTTGAAATTTATGAAAAATTGAGAAGTAATACAGGAAATTAGCTGTAGCACCTTTTCTACTAATAGTAGTCTCTCTTGGGACACATTGAATGAAATTTTACCATTTTTCTTGTATGCTTGAGAGAAACCTGCAATTCAAATTGTACATAATATATCAATATTTTAACATTCAAAAACCAAGAATTAGAACAAAAAGTTACAAAACATTGTAATGCTGTCAGTTTGTTCTGTATCGGTTGGAATGAAGGGAGGTGAAGCATCGCATCTAGTTAATTTGGAAAGGGAAAAATTGTCCACAGAACAGCGATAATTGTAATACTTTTGTATTTTGCTTGCCGAACTTGTTATCTGACAAGACCGAAATTATCATATAGACTACCCTGCCCAAGAGACACGAGAAACGACACACAGTAATTGTTGCTTTATTTATTACACCAGTCTTGTCGTTTTGTTCAAATTCTGAATAGTAGTTTTATGTTACTTCCGGTGCATATTCATTAGGTTTTTAGGATATAGGGTGTGTTTACATGACCGTGAAGTCCATGGTCTGCAGTAGTTTGACTTTCGTATTTCATCGAAGAAGTTGATCAAATCTTTTTTAACTTGTGTGGGTCATGAATACCTTCTAGAGGAAAAAGGTCTTGCATTGACAGAACATTTTGTAACAAGTGTAGGAGAGATGGACTCAAATTGACCAAGTGGTGGGATAATGTCGTCTGCTCATGTAATTGAATAAAGTATCCAATCATTCCCGAGACTCTTTTATACCTGCTAACTACGGAATTGTTCATTCATATGTTGAAGGCATTACGATATGAAATAATGTGATTCAGGTCTAGAATCCAGGTGTACATGGTCCATATAACAAATTGTTGATTGATTCTTGATTTCCACTTACGATATAGACTCGAATATAAATATAAAAATCATTAAACTCTAGGTGGCCTGTGTTCTATAGTCAGCTAAAAACCGAGTTTCTGGAATTGATATTTATTGGGAATAGATTATATTTAATATATAATATGAACCCTGAGAGAGATTCGCACCATTTAACGATACATAGAAAAACATCCGAAATCTTCCGATTTAGATACGAGTCGTTGAATTGCTTCAGTGTGTTGAATGAAATTTGTTATTTACTCCAACTACCATCTGGTTATTTGTTCTTAGTTGAGATGTTATCATTTAATTTATTAGTTTTTACCAGAAATATGAAGTTGAATGTTCAAACGGGATTCAGGCTGATGACAGACAGTGTAGAACAACTTGTATATAATCATTACAATTCTCTTTTATATTGTCTATATATATTTCTCTATTATACTCACTGTTAGGTACATTAGAACATTAAATAATTACTGTATACCATTAATTATAATGCTAGTGTTTGATGCACAGAGTAAAACAATAATAATAACCATTATACTTCAACAATAACTGTTGAATTTCTTTAGTTGCAATCTAACTTGGCATTTCAATTGCATGAGGATCAACCATTATTGGTCATAGGAAAGGTATGCAAAAGGTATTGCTTCCAAAAGCAGTAAAGAATTTCTGCTGGGAAACCTCTTTCTTGAATGTCTGTAGCAGGATAATCCGTTCTCCAAATTTTTCTTATTTGACTGAATGACTTGCCCTTTTTTTAGAATTAAATTATCGAAAGATAACATTTATAACTATACGATGACATTAACCATGCATTGTTTTAAAGATAGTTAAAAGAGTTACACATCAAACGTAAAATTGGCTTGGATTAATGAAATGTTTAATATATTCGTGGAATGTGATTTTCTAACGGTCCTCACATCTCTTGATGGAAATAAAATAAAGCAGAATCCAGGAGACATCAATAGATTGAAGATTATAGAAGACGGGTTGAGAAATCTGGCCTAATCATTATCAATAATCTTTATGTACTTTTCTAATGACTCTAATCATCGTCCTTTTACTGTCTAGATCTCCTCAAATACTTGTCTTTAGATTTCCCTTACTACAAGATGTTGTCTTATTTAACTTGTACATGTAAAGCTTTTATGTTGAAAAGTAAACAATAAGATGATTGGTGTTAAAGATGTTCACAGAATAAATAACAAATGCAATGAAATAAGTGAGGCTCGAGAGCAATGAAATACGTTTGTCTTGATACAAAACATAGATTGTTGTCTGTCTGTGATCAGTTTAATTAAGATAAATAAAATCAAGATTTCTATATGAGTTATAATTTTTAAGAATTAAATGGTCGGGCATTAACCTTGAATATGTAGGATTTCAAGTATACTTGAATTTCATGTTTAAAAAATGTAATTTAAACTTTGTAAGCTTGTCAAGTTTTTAAACCCCTATCACAGAATGGTATTAGGTGCATAAAGCCTTTATGAATTAAGAAAGAATAATACTAGTATCAGAAATACGTCTTCAGACTGAAATACTTCCAAACTATGTTAACTAATTCTAAGTATTTAAGTTTTTATGTAACATATTCAGACATTGAGATATTTTGAAGAGTAATTTTAAACTGATTTCTCAGCACAAGATGAGTTTTAGAGAATAAAAAGTAGAAAAGTAATGTTGAATATTGACAAGGGCAGGT